AAACATATAGTGAAACACAGGGATCTCAAGACAGAAGTACAAAGTATCAACCCTTCTCCACTCTAACCAGAAAAATAAGTGACTCAATTGCCATGCTGAAATGTGAGAGTTGGTCACAAATATGCACCTCTCTCTGTCTAGAACCCTAGGAATCTCCGAGCAGCTGTTAAAGGCTTCTGCAATTGAAGGAGATCATTTAGAGGTGCCAGTGAAATATGCCTTACTGTACCACTTCATCTACATATTTCAGGCAGTTGCCTGCTCCTCCCTCACTGGACATGTACATGGAAATGAGACACAGGATGAACACCCATCGTGGAGCAAATGGGGACGTAGCAGACCTAAAAGGGCTTAAGGAGATATTAACTTTGAAACCTATCAAAGTCACATAAACTTCAAAAGGAGGACAGAAATAGTAACTGTGTACAGAATCCCAGGTAACTGCTTTCTTTGGCAGAGCCAGCTTTCCTGGATGGTCTAGAGAAAGACCTTTTCTCACTCTTCTCCAGTTCCACCTGTCACACTAGTCACCCTTTGAAAGCACGACTAGAATCAACTGTCTGCCAACAGTCAAAGAGATGCAATAGTTTGTCCTGTGACTAGTTTAACAAAATAATGTAGAGTAATAAGCTCCCTGTGATTACAGTTTTATCTCCGCAATCCTGTGCTGCAAGCTTACATTATATTTTATTACAAACAAATAACAAATTATTACAGGTTCTATCTACTTATTCACAGTGCAAGCTGAATATGACCTGGAAGAGATTAATGGAAAAAAAATTCAAGAAGTAATGGAAGGTGGATGAGAAGCTCTCTTTGCTTCTTTCACAACCAAAGGTGCAAAGAGCATGCTCAATAAGCCAGGTAAGCAACAAACATGGTTGTTAGAGGATATTTATGACAGCGGCAACTGTGTAACATCACTGGAGCATGCACAATGGGAGCAGGCTTTCTAGACAATATATCTACAAAAGAGACATGCAGTTAGGTCTACCTATCAATCATCTGGACATGTGAATAAATCTGTAGCCAGCGGTCCATGTTCTGTTAAAATCAACTTCTACCGCACAGAAAACTTGAAAACTTGCAGCCCAGTAAATAAGCCACAAGACTACAGAAGCTAAAATACGTTACACGTACTACCACAAGAATAATATCTTAATTGCTAGACCAGCAAAGGTTTGGATACTTAGATCTTACAGAGAGTGAAGTGTATTTGCAATGACAGGTTATATTCTCTGGTTAAGTTACATAGGCTTAAGATGCCATCACACTGAAACAATCAGATTTTTGTGCATTTTGTTTGTTTGGGGTTTTATTTCATTTTGTAACTTACATTCTTTAAATCAGTAGTTACTGATCCACAAGAGCAGATCTATATGGACTACTTAAGTCTCCTCTTCCCTGCAAGCATGCATGTAACTCCCATTAATGCTAATGGGCACAAAGCACATGCATTGAGGAGAAAATAGACCCCTCACTGTGAAAATAAATGTGTTCAGTTATTTTCAGACACGATGCTGAAATCAAACAACTAAAAGTACATACTCTCAGGAGATAACATTATACAGCCTAACTGAAAATCTCACCATTATTTTTAACTCTCTGGTCATGGGCCCTGCCATGTTCTTCATGTTTCTGCCATTTCTTTCTTCAGCCCTTCTGCCCTAAAGACTATGACTAGGCAACATATCAAAAAGGGCCAAATCCTAAAATCTTACAGAAGCAGAACAGCCCTGATCTCACACTCCTTGCCTTTATGAAGGATGCAAGGTTAGGCCTCGTGCCTTACATTTTTCACTTAGGCCATACAATGTTTTCTCTTTAAAAGAGTGGGTAAAAGCATAAGTAAAAGGCCATACAATGTTTTCTCTTTAAAAGAGTGGGTAAAAGCATAAGTAAAACATAAGGGGTAAAAGCAGCAGTAAACCTTACTGTTCTCTAGAATGGTTCCTTAAAACTGTGATAAATATACCAAAGTAAAAAATCCTATCACTTAAAATTTATTCCTTAACAATTTGATATCCTGCTGTTTTCTGCTCTGATCAAAATTCATGGAGTCATTTCTGTCTGTTCAAACAGGTAAGCAAAATTGCTTATATACTAATGTGAAATTCAGCGACGCTGTGCTTTATCATAGTACAAATACAATCACTTTTCTTTTCTGAATGAACCAACGTTTTATGAATTTACAGCTGATCTAATGTGATATTTGTAACAGTCATGAGAAAATAAAGTTTTTGAAAAGGGTGTAGTGTAAGTGAAGCATTAATGGTTTTGGTGAGTGTATCGAGGGTCTTTGTAATGTGGCCTGCTGACTTCCTAATGAGAGTAATCACAACTATCTTCCCAAATCAGAGAGATGCACTTCCAAAGAAGTGGATATTACTGAGTTACCAGCCAGGCAGGGATGAGTTCTTCCAGTGATGAGGCCTTTTCAGAAGTTGATGCTGTAGGAGACAGGTAGAGTGCTTTTGCTGGAAGGCCTACGGTCACAGCTTAGTGTCAGGCTTTGCAATGCTGCTGGGTCAAACACGAAACCGAGGTTCTGCCAGGTGCTGTGCAGCCCACCTCCCAGCCCCTCGCCCCCAGCCATGGGCTCACCCAGCTACTCCCACACCGAGTTAGTTCGTGGAGAAAAATACTCCAAGGAAAAGGAAATCAATCAAATGAGTCAATACTTCTCTTGCTGCTCTATCTCCCTCCCCACAAGGTGGGTGGTGACAATCACTGCTCCTGGCACAAAACCGGGCAGTGAGGGATATGGGTCAGGATGGCCAGCTGGCAGGAGTGAAGGACTGTTCCTCTGAAACTGTCAGACCAGCCCTGTCATAACCCAGGATCAAACCCATATGCAAAGGACAGTCAAAGAAGGACCCCAGTTCAGCCAAGGAACAGGCTGGTGTCTGCACACTGAAGCGAAGAGAGACCCTTAAAGGCTGCCATGTTTCTGCCAGAGGCTTCCAAAAGTGCACGTGGATGCTCTGAATCCCCTGTGTGTCATGTCCTAGGACAGCAAAGCACAAAATAACTCATCATAGAGCTCTTTATGGACTGGCACAGAGGGTAAATGACTGAAAAGGCTGCCATTCACTGTACAAGCCCTTGGTTCCAGGCTCTCAAGCTGCAAAGTATTTCTGCATCTCACTTAAGGCTTGATAATGACAAGAGTTGTGCTGGATAATATATGAGCACCCTTCTTTTTCAAACCAGAAAAAGGCACTAACAGTGCGGCAGCCCTGATAGAATCTGAAGCTGCTGCAGCCCAGACCACCTCCCCTAAATTTGGTACAGCAATTACTACAGCGACTGATAAAGCTAAAATGAAACAGGCAACAAATTAATGAGCTCCTTCAGTTATTATAGAAGAGAAGGATGGGTGCCAATGGCCCATGACCTGTCAGCAGCCATGTGGATGGACATCCATCTGCCTGCGTCCATATGCAGCCGAGCTGGAGATGCTTGGGAGCTGCATGGGCAGGGCATGCAACATCCACAGAGCAGAAAACTTTATGTAACACTGATCTGGACTTGCATAAATAAGCACTGTTGAACTACTCACTTTTCTTTTTCCTTTTCCAGTAATAGAAGCCTGTCTTTCTTTTTGATCCGAGTGTGTCACTGTGACTCATTTTGCAAGTTGAAGTCTGATTACACAGAGGAAAGACCAAAAACTTAAATATTACTTCTTCTGCAGAGATCACTAAATCTATTTTCTTCTGAGTGAACATGCAGGGATAAACAATCCTGTGAATGATTTGGTGTATGATATGCAAAAAGAGACATTTCTACAGCCTGTCTAGACTCTCAGACAAGATCAGACTGTGCTGTCATCAAAGACATTTCCACAGCCTGTCGTATTACTTGAGAAACAGAAAAATCACCTTTTCGGAACAGTCATGCAAAAATGAAAAATAAATAAAAACAGCCTGACCTGCCAGTGTCATAGTGGAAATCTGAGCGCAGTAACCTTAGACAATTTAGAAATCATGCTAACAATAGAGCAAGAAATTTCAGCAAACATTTGTGAGGAAAGGCAACTCCTGCACAACTGAATACAATCCAAAAATATGAGTCATGCACAAACAATTTTGCTATGGGCCATAAAATCACTTTATGAGAGTTACAGATAATTCTGTATGTATTCTATAATGTTTCCCTACTGTGTAGAGATGGATATCTCTGTATCCTATCACAGATAATGATGGAAAACAAATTCTCTACATAAAAGCTGACTGCTCGGAGATTCACCCGTAACTGTTCCCAGGGACTGTACTGCTGACGTAACACTTTACACTGCACTCATCAACAAGAGCTAGGTTCCATCCGTGCCAAACCTGCTGCAGTTCAGATGGTTTTTATGAGATGTAGCAGGGTGCACTGAGCAGCCTTAGACACAGAACATGCATCCTGCCACTTCTCAGCACCTACATACTCTTTATCACACACACACACCTACCACCCTCCACAATGACACTTCTCATTTCTTCCTGTTACTGCTTTTGCACATATTTGGACATATTCAGCATTAGTCAGTATTAAAAAAAACTCAGATGTATTCTCTGGATGTCATGCTGAGAAAAATCTACAGCATTAAGCCAGTTGTGAAAGAAGAGATACTGGAGCAGGAAAGGTGAACCTTTCAGGACCAGCTCCAGAACAAACAGCCTCTTTTTGCACCTCTATTTTCCTCATCATATTCCTTTGTAACTTTTTTCAGTTGTATCCACAGAACCATTAAAAAAGTTTTAAAACCCCTAAAAACTTTAAAAAAAGACTTCTCTCATGAGACTTTAACTGGTTAACTCTTTTGCAAGGTACCTTTACGACTAACACACTGTTGGCAAGCCAAAATTAATGGGGACTCCACTGAAAGAAATCTGGTTTGTTCTTTGAAGGTGTGCTACTCATGTGTTATGATACATGATCTTTTCTCAAACCTGGCTGTGAAATTCTCCAGGAGACAAGCTTAAAAAACCCCAACCAAACAATATCAATACCTCTCCAACGTCATAGATCCATATGCGGCCCTCTGAATCACCAACTGCCACCTCCTTCCCAGCCTGGGCCCAGCGGACACGGTTGAGGGCAGAAGCTCCTTCTATGGTGACGCTGGCTGTGGGAACCTAACGAAACAACAGGAACAGGAAGGACAATAAAATCAAGCTGCCTGGGAACCCAGGGGTCAGTTTCGAATGTCCTGCTTAGCTGGGTGAGTCACAAGACCCGTGGCATTGCTGGAAGTAGCATACAACCATC